TATAAATAATGACCACAGCCGCCGCCATCCAATCTCGACAGACGAAGTGCCACCACGCCAGGGGCCTTCCCAGGCTGCGACCAATCTGATCTCGCAAATTGGTCGTTCAGGCCTTACATGGGGAGCCATGAGCCCGGACGGTTATCATATTCAGTTCGATATCAACAAGGCGCCTATCCCAAAGTTTGTCCAGGTTAGCCCTGATACGGAGAATCCAAGCAGATCAGATGCACAATCCAGGAGCAATCGTTTTACCCCATCAACGACTCGCAAGCCTCTCCCCCATCCTCTGGCAACTGATGGCCTGTCTATTCCGCGTGATAAGCCATATTGGACCGAGTTTGGTTTGCATTGGCCCCCCCGTGATGGGCCACTCTATTTGCCCCCTTTAGACCCCAATGACCCTTATAAAGCACCGGATAGACCAATATAAATGAACGGGCCGCCTCAATGATATGGCTACACTGGTCTTAGAAAGGTGTTTTACTTGGGCTCAGTTTCTTTTCTGCGACAACGCTCATTGAATCTTTCTCTCTTCCGTTTACTTTATCTTGATAGTGACGTCCTGGGACTTTGATAAGTTAGCTAGACGGCGTTGTTTAACATTGTGTTAGTTTTGATTTGCCTTGTTATTCCTATATTGCCCAATGAATGACGAGTTGTCAGCCACAATGATAGGTTAGGAGATAGTAATTATGCAAGTGTACACCGGTTTGGTTGTATGATATCAGTAGACGACACCTCTACCCGAACAAACGAAGAAAGAAACGAAGAAAGAAACGAAGAAAGAAGTACCAAAAAGAGGGAAGAAGAATAAAAGAAGGGGCGAGACAACCCATCTTTTTCCTTCTCATCGAATATAGAAATGCGTATTGACCTAGTACTAGTAGCATAAACATATATTACCACCCTCCACCCACAAATCCAACGAATAGCGCAGCCAAACGACAGGGGATAGTAACTCTTGGTAACTATAGCAAGCAATAGTATCAGCCTATTACACGGAGCACAGACACATTATTAGTTATTTTAGTGTTGCTGTATATCAAAAAGAGGGTCTTAGTGGTGTAGGACGTAATAAGCGAAGTTATATACTACTATTTGTAATTATATTTACCTGCTGCAAATTCCAATCTCGTAGTTAGTTGGAGATATGGAAATGATGGGTTAGTTGAGTTATATACTATTAACTAACTACTAACTAACTACTTGGGAGAAGAAAAATATATGAAGAAATAATAAATGAATGAATGAATGGATAACTACTACAGGTACGTTATAGTAATCATGATAAATAGTTAGTTAGGTTTTAGATAGTAGTAGGTAGTCTAGATAGTCAGCGAGTCAAATTGCCATCATACTATGTAGTGTTGATAAACCCATGTGGACATGGTTCTTGAAATATATTGGTTTACAGCAAGTGCCCTCAGGCGTGAATCAAACACAGGTATGGATTTCGTTCGGTTACATTACTACAGGGGGGGTTTGAAAATTTGGAAAGAAGAAACACAACACACACACATAATCGCTGCATTCATTCTCCGTCGTCCGTCCGTCCGTCCTTCCTGTCGTTCCTTTTTGCTTCCTCGCATGCCCACGCCTACACTCACGCCCATCCATCTACACCATATACTAGAGCCAACAGGTCAATCATGGATTGTGATAGTGCAGAGGCAAAGAAAAGAGAAGCCTGCTTAATTCAAGGTTTGTTGTTGTTAATGTTGTTGTTGTTGTCATCAAAGTCGTTTACTTTGTTTTTTTTTGTGCTTTCTTTCTGTTTCGTCAACCAGTACTAAAAGAGCCTAGAAGAAGCAGCAAGGCAGGATTAGGTGTAGACGTTCGTTGGTGGGAGGAGCTTGGCTCCGTAGCGGAGGTCGAGCGAGCGGGAGTCAGCAGGGTCAAAAACGGTGGCTTGACGTTGTTCAAGGAAGAGAGCTGTTCGTAATTAGCAGTAATTCAATTGAGGTTCGAGGCCTAGTGGGATACGTACGAGTCACTTTGATCATGTCAAACCAACGAGCTGCGTTCTCGTCACTACCATCCACGGCTTTTAGGATGCCGGTATCTGGTCGAGGAGTAGCCTTGGGCGGAAGGCTACGCATCTTCAACAACATGTGCAGGATGTCGGAGAAGCGATCGCCTTGATTGGCGTAGTATGGTGGGCGCTTGTCCAAAGGCCACTGCGAAACGAGTTAATATACGGACAGACCGCTTTGAAGTATGGCGGTGAGCTTACCCGCTGAGCAAAGTTCTCATCGTCCCAGGACCTGAATAGCCAGCACGTCCGCTCCACGCAATTCAACAAAATAAGCGCAACCAGGAAGGTCTCGAACCAGCCGCTCTGCTGGCGCTGAAGCAGTCGCCGCTCGAGATCATTCATGACCGACTTGCTCAACTGCGACGCGCGTTTCTCGGTTGCGGCCCGCAGCTGGCTGCATAGGAGCTCGTACGACTCGCTGTTGGTGACACTATCGATGGGTGTGCGGCCGTCGTCTGATGGCTGTGCAAGAGAGTGCATCGATGTGGGAGGAAGAGTTGGGTTGCAGAAAGTCTTCCACTGCAATTCCCCATCGGCCAGAATATGAGTGGCAATCCAGAGTTCCAGCACCCGTTCGAGCAACACGTCCTGAACAAGTCAACCAACACTGCTGGCTTCCCAGCGATTCAAGTGAGGAACATACCTTTTTCTGCTGGCTTAGCTCCGCTGCAAGCAACAAAGTTGGTCTCATGAAGTCCGAAGCCTCCCGCTCATAGAAGAACGGCGCAATCTTCTTGATGTACATCTCGATCTTTCCAGGAAGATCATCTGCATCACTGTCCAGCAGATACAGCTCGTGAAGAGGGCCCTGGAATTGTGTTTCATCTCCAAGAGCCTGGAGCTGAGGGTCAAGCGTCGATGCGGGTGCCTTGTGGCCCTGGAGTCCGCTGAAGGTAACGTAGACCATGCTCTCCTCAAAGTGGGTAACCTCAATACGTCCAGCGTAGTGTTCGAATTTGACTTGGTTGCGGATACCGCTCACATCGTGGTAGGCAAGGGTAGCGTGCAAATCTGCGGTGGTTAGTGCGTGTGACAACCACCACCAAGGCCAAGTTACATACTTGCATTGTACAGCTCGAATTCTTCGGCAATGCGCGTGCGAATGCATGGGTGCTTCCACAAGCGGGCGCTCTCAACACTGGCGCAGGTGGTACACGGGCTGTCACCGGAGCACTAGAGGCAGGACTTGTTAGAAACCATATTCAAGACTAGAGGGCATCCAACCTACAGGCTTCTTCAGCATGCGACAACGAATACATGCGCCCCGCTTGCGAACTTCCTGAACCTCTCGGCGTCGGGCGGCGGAGAAGCGACCGCGCACTTTCGGTTTGGTAGGCTTGGTGGAGTTGCCAAATTCGTTCACAAAGCCCTTGGCCTGAGAGTTGGGGTTCATAGCAATAGGACGGGGGAAGGAAGCAGCGCGCTGTGTAGCTGCAGTGAGAGTGGGATCATGTTCGTGGAGGCTGTCGAAGAGAAGCTGCTCCTGGGTTGACAGCTGCTGGTTCCACGAGGGACTCATCTTAGGCATACCGTCGGTGAGACCAGCATCGTGATCCATTGGGAGACCGTGGGGCACCATCTCACTAGCGGAAGCAGCAATCATGGACAGTTGCGACTGGCGCGCATTGGAGGTGGGGTCCGGAGTCAACGAAACGTCTGGCAACGGGGGGGATGCGGCTGCGGCTTGCGGCTGATCTTGAGAGGAACTAGGCAGGGAAGGTACAGAAGAGGCGTTGGAACCTTGAGGAGTGCCTTGAGAGATTTAAAGCATTAGCGCGCCGCAGATAGACAAAGGAAGCGGGATGAGTGAATGGAGCTTGAGTGAAGGTAGGGTCACAACACAGACTTACCTGGAGCGTTGTTCGCATCTTCTTCAACCTGGTCCGGCTGTGTAGGATGACCTTGAAAGCCTTCAGCCTCGAGGGCCGGGTCGACGACCACGGTCTTTCCCCCAACTGTCACCGACTGAGTGTATGCAGGGCCCCGTTTCGTCTGGTCGGACGCACCAACCTGGCGCGATGCCTCGGCCAAAACATTGAGGCCATCGAAATTCTGGCGTGTAGTGAAGGGCAGATCCACCGATTTGCCCTTACTCGTCACATCCTTGTTCTGGTCGCCATCGGCGAGATCGGGAAGTTCGTGAAGGCGCAACAAGACGCGTTGCCGATCGCGCAACGGGATGGCTTGACACTTCTTCACGAGATGGTTGGTCAAGCTGTCGATGCGACCCTTGGGGAATTTCTCTCCGCAGGCCTTGCACGTGTGCTGGTAGCGATTACTGGCGTCCTCGAGTTTCTGGCCTCGAATGAAGAACTCGAGGATGAGTTGGTTCGGTTTGCGACCCATTGAGAGGGAAAGTGTGTGGCCGGGCGGGCACTCGGCAAGGAGGGACCGGGATTAACACAATAAAATGGGGGGATGACTTGAGCAAGGAACTGCGCGTTAAAGAGCACTGTAAAGATATTGTAAGCGACAGATCTACCGGGTCAGAAAGGCACAGCGCGCACGCTGGAGCCGTGAGACAGTGACGCACACAGGGTCTCGAGAAGACGAGGGGTGTGAGAGAGAAACGGATGGCAAAATAGCAGCTTGGCCACAACACCGACCGGCAGAACCCACCACGCCGTTCGGAAGGTGCCGCACCAGGTTTAAAAAGATGGGAGTGGATGGGCTAAGGGTAACTGAAGGATCTAGGGGAGGAATAGTGCCAGAAATGCAGGCAATGATCGAGAGTAGAATGAGGCAGCGCAGCAGAGGGAGTGGGATGAAGGGGAAATCTGGAGCAAGCAGCGGCAAAACCACGACTTTTCTACGGGCGGTCTGTCACTGGCCGCCTGCTCCGTCACGGGTTTCGGTTGGGATGCGCCTCACCGCATGAAAGGCGGTGATGAGATCGGTGACTGGTGTTAGATACATTCCTTCTTTTTGGACTAAATTACTAAATACATTGAACAATTGTCTAGAAAGGCCAACGGACATGTCAGCTCCGTTTTGGCGCGGCCATAGTCTGTGTATGGTATATACAGCATGATGATTATGTGCACCTTCAGCGGTGTGGCAGGGCTCTCAGCCTATAAAGTGGACATGATCAGCCAGGCTTGCATCGGCTCTTGTGATACTCGACTTTGGTTTTTACCTTTGATACCTGTCGAAAGAACTTTAGCTGGAAACCTGTGGCCCCACTGTGAAACACTCCCTGACCGCTCTCTCTTTCATCATGTCTTGGTTATCATATCTCCATCTATCTTAACCATAAATAGTTCATTTTTACCCCTTGTATTTATTACAACCATAGTATCCGCCAGACTCTGACTTTTCTTTAGTAGTCATCGCGGAAGATGTGAACTGGCTAGATTTCTTGAATTCCCCCTGTTCCTCACATATTCCATCCCATTCCTACCTTACTAGCTCTATTGCCGAGTTAGGCATACTTCCATAGTTGCATGCAGCAGCCTGCAGCCTCTCCTACTACCTGCCACTATCACCGATGAGCGATTTCTTCCGATAACATCTCCGCTGCCGGAGAAGATGACAAAATGATTATTCTTATGGATACACAATCGAATTATCTTTTGCTCTGCATCATCACTGTCCCTAATAATCAGATAATAGATGTCTCATAAGCAACGAAGCCATCTAAGAACAACCATAAGATGGAGAAAACCCGCAGTCAAGAAAGAAGGGAAAAAAAATCACTCAATCATTCCTACTCATCTCCCGCCGACATTATCGAGAGCATCAATTACGGAAACCCTATTCCACACCATCAGATCACTAACTCTACAAATCACTAGCTACGTGCTCATACAAGGCTAACTAAACTGCCTACCCCTCGATCATTTATATCTCTTCTCGTCATTCGTGAAAACTGATCTCCATATCCTGAATATCAGCTAACATGACTTCCTAGCACTCTTTTTTCCCCCGCAGAGATTCGGATTCTGGTCCTGGAGGCCTTTGTGCAGGGTGGTTATAGCTTGGCTGGCTTCGCTATTAATGTCTGATTTTCAAACTCGGAAGAGTATGACTGCACTCTTTGTTGGGCACCTATTGGCTCGAGCGACGAGGCAAATGGCCTGTTTCAAAAAGCATTTCGGGGAGCTATCCTTCACACTCAGCGCATGGGAGGAAGCTAATGACAATATAACTACTTGATATCAGCATCCTTTCTCCCAGTTACCCCACACATTGTTTCGGGTATCTGCCTGATATCCCCTTCGACAAGTGTGACCGAGATATATGCTAAGACCAGTCAATGCTGGCCTATCTTCAAGAATCGCCCCCCAGCATAGCTGGATTGCTGGCTGTTAGATTGCATAGTAGGTATATATAAGGACAGGAATATGTGGCTCTAGTAGATTGGAAACCGTCCTTTATCTATCTCGTCAAATTGAAGATTCTCAAATGACAGCTTTTGTAGCAATAAGCTTTATTCATTCTATCCTGCATAATCATCTACCGGAAGCATAAATCATCCAGGCCAATAGCTACTTACTTCATCCGGATCCCTGCGCCTATCCTTCCACCATGTTCGGCAACTGGAAAGGCTCGTTCAATCCAGTAGGATATAATTCTTGCCTAGATAGTTTTTGTGCTACCCCTTGGCGCAACCGACGTTTGATCAAGCGTCCAAAGAATCGTTGCACTCCCAAGAGATAGTGATAGTGATCGTGACCGCCTTTTCACCGCACTCCCCCACTCTCTTTCCCCCCGGACAATAAGCAAGCAAACCTCCCCCAGAAGAACAATACCAACATATGCCATACACACACATACCCAAGTAGTACCAGTAGTGGTAGTTACACTCGTCAATCCATCTACCAAATTGACACCCCCACACTCCCCTTCCCTCCCCCCTCAAACCTTCATCATCCCATCTCATCTCACCTCCCAACGCGAGAATTTTCATTTCAGGCCCTCCTCGCGGCAGCCGCCCTTCCCTGCCTGCACGCATCTGACGCACACCGAGAAGTCGGTCTGGCGAAAAAAAATCCCCCCAACCAAAAAGCAACCTGCAAAAGCAGAACCCTTCCCGACAACTCCGAGAAATGTTATCTGTCACCCGTCAAGGGGCAGCCACAGCCACCCACCCACTCACCCACGCATCAATCAGCAAATGCGATGCTCCGGAGGGCGCCAAGGCACACCCAGAATATCAAAGATGCGACGCTCATCGTGGCCCTCGAGTAGTCGGCCCTCATTGATTTTTGCGCGTTGAGGACCGCGTAGCACGTCTGTGTAGAGACCTCGTTGATTGAGCCGCATGCCCTTTCTGCTTGCTAGTAGTCTCATGCTTCGATTGAAGATGTCATTGCCGGTGAAATAGATCAGTGCGGCTCCGATCTCTGCGTCGGGGACGAATAGGAGGTCGATGCGTCGCCAGGGGCGGGTAGTTGTATTATAAGATTCCCACTTGTTGTTATTCTTAGGTGGTGGTGGTGGTAAGGCACATGCACCGTGCCATTTGGACCCGTCTCGGGATGATGAGCTGGCCAGACTGGTCTTTAGGAAACCTTGCTTACGCAGCGTCGGGATTACGGTTCTCATCATCACGGTTCTGATGTGGTTGATCTCGGCGTCGGGCTTGGTGATTAGTAGGTCGATGTCGCCGCAGTCTGGGGCACCGCGGCGATAGGAGCCCGCGATGATGACTTGCATGTCTGGGTCGGCTGATTGGACTGCTTTGCGGACGATTTCGCCGTGTTCTTCGACTTCGGATCGAGGAATGCGTTGGGCGAAGTCGCCGTAGTGCTCTATGCCGATGCGCTGGTTGTGGGTCAATTTGATTTTGACTCTCAGGTCTTTGAGGGTTTTGTAGCCTTCAGCCAGCCATATGGATGCTTGGTTGATGCCGACGCCGTAGATTCCGGTGAAGAGTTTGAGGATCTTGTCTTCGCGGCTGTTGGTGGCATTTTCGAGCTGGCGGAGGCGGTTGGTGGATACGATTTCTTCGATTTTGTCGGCGAGGCGCTGTCCGATTCCTGGGATGGCTAGGGCTTCCAATCTGGTGCTGATTTTACGCGGTTGTCGGCGGAGAGCGCTGATGGCTTTGCGGTAGGCCAGGACGCGCCACTGGTCGTTTGTTCGCTTGTAGAATTCTAGCATTTGCTGGAGGATGGCTATGGTATGGCTGTTGGGGTTCTCCGAGTTCGATTGTGCGTCGTGCTTCTGCATGCAAACGAAGTTCTGTTGCCAGTCGTCTTTTTCGGTAGTCTTTCGCTTCTTCTTCGCTGGCCCGGCGTCTGATGAGTCGGAGGTCTGGTCGTCGCCGGCTGCTGCTGCCTCGTCGGCTGAATCTATCTCTATGGGCTAAGTCATTTGTCAGTCTAAGGCTTTGAGATGTACGTCGTGGGAGGAACTTACCAGGTCCTTTATTGCCTGGACTTCCTCGATCACATCGTCCAAGGCATCGCGACCCTGGTTCAATTTATCGGTGATCTGTTTACTTTCCAGGTGTTCGTCGACCTCCGGTTCGAACAGCTCAGTGTCAGCTTCGTCATCGGTGCTCTGTGTATCAATGTAACCGCGTTTCGCCTTCGCTGGCTTTATCGGCAACGACCCGTTTGACGAGGGCTCACGCGCAGGCGAGGATTCTGTAGCCCTCCCAGGAACAGGTGCGCCACGGACCCGAAAGCGAGTTTGAGTCGCGTCCAATATTTGGCGGGCCCCAATACATAGGAGAGGATAGTTACTGTCCACGAGAGCAACATTTTTCTTCAGAGACATTAGTATTAAACTTGACAATGCATGAGCTCCTAAACCTACCGGGATGGGCTTATTCTTGAAATGTTTCATGACATTCTCGTACGTGTACCACCTTTCTACAACAACATGAGTGATGGTGTCATTCCATTCCCTTGCTCGCGAGGCACCGTATTCACGCGCACGCTGCATTTGGAGCCGTCTAAGTCTTGTTCTGTCGTCGTTGGGGAGGTAGTCTACTCCTTCGAATTAGTGTCACTGAACGCTTAACGGTACACATCCGATGTTATAATACTGACAGAAGACGAGACCCTTGAGTATCTGCCGGTGTTCTGGAATATCAAAGGCCCTAAATCCACATCCCTTTCTTTTAGAGCTGCCACCACGTGTAGTCTTGGCTTTCCGCGGCATCACGTCTGTAGAGGTTGATCTGGTCACAGCTGGTGTTGGTGATTGCTCGGACGTAGTTACAACTTCCTTTTCAGTGCTGACATCAGGTATACCTGAAGAAGCAAGTAAAGGCTCCGTAGAAGCTCTCACCGACGGTGGCGCCGCGGGAGCCTTTATGTCTGAGGCCGGAGTGAATGAGATAGACGGAGGGCATTCACAGCGCTTCCTCGTGAGATGCACCAGACCGCTGAAATCCTCATTTTCACCATCACTGGGATATTCCAGACGCTCTAATTCCCTGAAAAAGGCCTCCTTGTCCTTCACCATCGTCGCCATGGTATAGTGAAGTGGAAGGTCCCGAGACTCAAAATCCGGCGAGCCATGAGTTCTTGCGTCACTGCTGCCTAGCAGGTAACAGTATCATCTGACGGAAGCAGTCATGAATACAGAGTTCATGGCAGTCAGACAATCCATCCATCCACACCAACGTCAGATTATTCAAATCAATCCATTTCAGAGTGGCACGAATCCCACCAGTGACGCGTGATACCCAGTCACGAAAATGTCGCCAAGTCACGGGACCGCCAATTAAACTCGGCCTGTTCGGCGAGTGGATCTCCAGCAACAATTATCATTGATAGTCCAGTGAAGAGAGTCTGCCGAACATTCAACCAACCAACCAACCAACCCACTTCAATTACTTCTCCACAGATACCTCACCTACAACGATGTGGAAGCGCACAGGGCTTCTAGCCTCATTAACTGAGCCGACGCTCCTCCAGAGCACTCGTTGCCTCAGCTGTCAATTGCGCAGTGCGGCCGCTCTCCGGCCCCGAACCGCTGCGCTGCGTTACTACGCCAGCAAACCCGACACCAGCAGCAGTGAAACCAAGCCGACGACACCCTCCCCCATTTCATCTCTCGCGAACAAGACCAACAGAGTAGCTCAATTCCAAGCAAACTACTCAGCGACAGCATCCAAAGTGCCCTCCCCTACTAGCGAGCCCGGCGATGACGACTTCATACCTCCGACGCTGGACCGACCTATTGGATCAGTGATCCCACCACAAGAAGGCCAGAACACGGGTGTCGATGACCGCTCTATACGACAGAGGAGAGATGATTTCGTGAATTACGAGAGACATCTTGAGCGGCGGAAAGAATTGTACGTCTCCATTCTATCCCCAGAGCCTATACTCTTTCATGCAAGCTCTAATAATAATTCTCAATGATAAACTACAGAACCCGACAGGTCGCAAAGCCCTACTTCCGCGAATGGTCGAACATGCGCTACCACGAAGGCAAAACCTTCATGTCGAACCCGCGGCTCTTCAAGCGCGACAAAGCCCTCTACTTCCCTAACATGCACGGCATTACTCTCGCCTCGCCAAAGGAACCCCAGAACACGACCACTCTCTTCCGCGGAAAGATTACAATCGTGAACCTCTTCTCTAGCGTGTGGGCAGAGTCGCAGGTCGTTACTTTCACGGGCAAGGAGCAGAACCCTGGTCTTTGGGAGGCGATTGCCTCAGAGGGAAATGCAATGGTGCAGAAGGTTGATATCAACCTGGAGGAGAATGCATTGAAGGCCGGGTTGGTGAAGATGTTCATGTGGCGTATGCGGGCCAAGTTGCCGGAGGAGCAGCATGAGCGGTATTTCCTGGTGCGGAAGGGGTTGGATGATGGGTTGAAGGAGAGTATTGGGATGTTGAACTCGAAGGTCGGGTATGTGTATTTGTTGGATGAGAATTGTCGCATTCGGTGGGCGGGCAGTGGGCCTGCTGAGACGGTGGAGTTGGAGGCGCTGAATAATGGGGTGCGCAAGTTGGTGCAAGAGAAGAAGGTCAGTTTGCAGTCGGAGATGCCGGCGCAGGAGTGGGATGGTGCGAAGGGTCGGGGTGAGGCTGTGAAGAAGCCTCGGGTTGTTATGCCCTAGATGGGTTTGGTGTGCCATGGATGGCTGGACAGGTACGGGATCACCCAGTTCATACTGGATTCTGGACTCTGTGTATGTACATACCAGGGTGTTTGCGTGAGTGTTGAGTGAGAGCGTGGAATATGCTCCAGACAGCACTGAGCCGACACCAGGAAACAAATCTCCCCCCACCATTAATCTCTGTATAGTATAGACGCAAAAACAGCGCATAGACAAAGGAAAGGATAGAGAAGAAAAAAAAGAGACAAATCTCACTCCTCCAAACGCCCATCCCAAACCCACAATAGACAACGCAAGCAGCAACTATAATAACCACAAACAACATGCTTCAAGCAATCACCTCAACCAAAGCAACATCAAAAAGCAAAACCCAATAAAAGCCCCCAAAATCAACGCATCCCGTCTCCTCTTCGACCCGATCTTCCCAATCAATGCATTCATCCCGGGCACCGAGTTCGCCGCGCCCACAATGCGTCGATTAATACTCGCTAGCGTCTCCCGCTGGAGACCAAAGTTCTCATTAATAGCATACGCCTGACTCAACACCCCATCGATCATATTATGGCTTTCGTCAATCCGACCCCGCTCCTCAAGCATGTAATCTGCTTCTGCCTGACCCGGGTTCGAGTTACGGTAGGCATCGATATCGGAGCGGACGTTGGAGAGGAGGTTAGCGCGGTCGCGGGACTCGGAGATGGCGGATTTGAGACGCTGGAGTTCGCGACGGTGGTCGTGGAGGACTTCGCGGTGACGGGAGAGATTGTTTTGTTTGAGGGCGGAGGAGGTGAGGGTTGCTTCGGAGTCGAGGAGGCGGGCGAGTTGGGAGATTAGGGAGTCGCGCTGATGATTGATTGATGGTTAGTTCATGTGATGTTATGGAGTAGTAAGATAAGTGATGAGATGCGTACTCGTTCTAGGAGGTCTTTGAGCTGCGATTCAATCCGTTGCTCTTCCTCCGAGGGTGTGGGAGGGAGCTTTGTTAATGAGGCGTATTGAGAGTATGTGTGGAAAAGGTTCTCGGTCTATGATGTATGTACAATGTTAGGATAGGACACATCTTATGTGACAGGAAGCGGATGATCGTACCTGGGTCTCGAGAGATCGGGCTTGCTGCCGGAGCTGAGCCCAGCCGGTACCGGTTGAAGTGGCCATGGTGATGATGGAGGATTACGACAATATGAGGGTGTATATAGAAAGGTTGGTAGGTAAGTGCCAGTGATGTGTGTGTGTATGTAGGCAGTAGAATGAGACTGGATGTTATTCAAGGACACCGATAACGACGAGAAGACACCGTCAAGTCGGAAATATAAAACGAAGAGAGTAAATCTAGCTTCAGAATGAACCCCGTCATAACCAACGCAACATGATCCGACCGGCGGCACAGCAACAGCGACAACGACAACGACAGCAAGTAGCAGCAGCGACAGCCAGCCTTAGTCTAACCCACTATCGCACGGCCAAGTCAGGGCGGCCGGGGCGGCGGACGGAGGCGGCGTCATCCCGGGGGGCGCGGCAGTACTTACTACTCACCCAACTGGGCCACGGCAACCACCAGCCACAATCACGTGCCCGCTTAAGCCGCCGCACACCCAGAAAAAATCAAACCCTAGTCCCACAACGAACATCCCAAATTGACCCGGTCCATCTTCAATCCTCACGTCGACAACCCGTACGATACGACACGAAGCCGCCCACCATGGTATGTTGAATTGCGCCGCATGCTGCTATTTCGCAGTTTTTGATTTCTGCGTGAAATGCTGACCGGTGTTTTTCTTATTTGAAGTCGTCCAAGGTCAAGGCTGGTCAGCTCTGGGGAAAGAGCAAGGATGACCTCACCAAGCAGCTGGAGGAATTGAAGACCGAGCTGAGCCAGCTCCGTGTCCAGAAGATCGCTGGCGGTGCCTCCTCGAAGACCCACAGAATGTGCGTTTGAATCATCTCCTGCGAACCCCTCATGTGTGTGTGTGTGTGTGTGTGTGTGCGTGTGTGGTGGGAAGGATATGAGATTTGCACCTGTCGGATTGTGGATTACGGCCGGAGGAAGGGAAACGACAACAAGATTCGACAGTTCGAAAGACAAGAAAACGAATACCAGTCAAGGGGAATTTCGACAACCCATGAAATCGACATACCAGCAAGGAACGAGGGGCACACGACCACGAACAACAAGATCAATCCAATCCGAGAAAAAAAAAAAACTTTCCGACAGGGCGCAAAATCCAACTCATCTACCACCATCACCTACATATTGAAAATGGGCACACATGCGCACAAAAATCAGGAAAGAAGAAGAACACGAAGAACAGGGATGCTGATATACCATCTTTTTTAAACAGCCACGACGTTCGCAAGTCGATCGCTCGCGTTCTGACCGTCATCAACGCCAACCAGCGCGCTCAGCTCCGCTTGTTCTACAAGAACAAGAAGTACACTCCTCTTGACCTCCGCCCCAAGCTCACCCGTGCTCTCCGCCGCCGTCTCACCAAGCACGAGGCTACCCTGAAGACCGAGCGCAAGCGCAAGCAGGAGATCCACTTCCCCCAGCGGAAGTACGCTGTTAAGGTACGAAGCCACTCAGAAGAGAGAACCGTATTCTCGGTTCTTGCTTGCTACCCTACAGGCAGAGCCAGCGAGAAAGGTATCAAGGCCATTGACTAACTGGTATCTTTTTTTCTAAACAGGCTTAAATGTTAAAGACGGGGTCGTCTCTGGATCTGGATGGAGTTAACGGGAACGTCGTTTAATGATGACGGGTTGACCTAACCTTGCCGTGAGGGGGGTCGGATTCATCAAAACGGTTTCTTTTGAAAAAAGAAATCGATTATGTATCTTAGAAAAAAAGAAAAGATGCAGATCGATGTTTTTAAATGAAGGCCTTGCTTGACATGACATGAGATAAAAAGATTTATGTTATTGGTATTATGGTGGTTGCGGAGTAGATGATAATTATCTTGTCTCCGCGTGTAGTCATTTTTCACTATAGGTGTATTAGTCTATCTTATGACTGACCCTATACAACGAGTAGTATTGGATATGGGCTTGAGGTCGAACTGCAGACAGTACTACGTATTGGTGGGGTGTCAACTATCGGCCTATGTACGAATCCAGTCAACGGTGAAGGCAATTGACATCGTAATACTTGTCCATTCGTGTTTGCATCTATATACGCTATTATACCACACGCCTTAATCTTTCTATTCTAACCTTTTGGTATCAACGTAACTTCCCAAAAGCAACTGCTAACGACCGCCAGGGTCGAAGCCCTTTCTACTTCCCCACCTCGTTAAGACCTGACTCGAGAGTCCACATTCCTCCACAAATGCACGATCGTAAATGGCCCAACTTGAATATCATGCGGAACGCAAGGACTGAGCGAGGTGGATATGTGCCCTCAGATACATCGCAGCAGCGGACGCATCGCCGTCGAAGCACTCCCTGGTTGTTCTGTTTCCCAAGCTGGGGTCCATTCGAGCCTTGTGCGATTGTTATCCGGATAGGCGTTTTCTTGATGATATCCACTTCTCGTGTGCGCCGATATAACTCCGAGCGTCGGTCGGATCCGAACCCGAGCCACGAGTAGTCGTGCATGTAGATGGCCATGCGGTCGACGTCGGACTTGAGTCCCGGTACCGTTTGTCGAAGGATTGTTGATACAGCCGCAACGAGGACAGGAGGAATGCGGGCGTTGACAAGTAATTCCTTCTCTGGCCCCGGGCGTTCAGTGTCACCAAAACCGGCACCATGGTAGGCGTGTCGTACGGCCGAATCGACCGCCGAAAGGAACTTTTCGTATACATCAATTCGTGCAGGTGTGGCATCTAAAGCTTGGCAAATCTCTGCATACTGTAGACGAGAGTCACCGGCTAGAGATGCGTTCGTGTAGCCCGCGTGAATGCCACGCAGACCACGGCAGATAAAGCGCAAGAAAGCACGGGACATGCTTGAGAGGAGAATGATGAGAGCTAGTGAGTTTGTGGTTTTCACTACGGGGCGTTAGTACAGTTGACAGTTTCCGGAGTATGGATTTAACCAACATTTTTGGCTGAAGGCTTCCTGATCGGCCGATACACTTTCAAATTCATCGGCGAGGTCGAAAAGCTCGTTTAGTATATAGAGAGAAAAGTCAAGTGCCCATCTGGTGTTTCCAAGCATCATACGCAAGACGTCTATATGAGCCATGCTGTTAGCAGCTTCCGTCAAGGTCAATGTGAACTTACTTACCAGGATCATGTGGCTCTGCCTGAATCCCTTTGTTGTACTGAAAGAAAAATGGGTATAAAATGGCGGCGTGGCGAAGCTGAAGAATCGACCAAGAGACAGAAGAGGCAAAACTTCGTGGCTTGTACTTATTGGCAAATCCCAGAGCAGCTTGTATACTGAGGCACTTGGGAATATAGGGGTGGTTCATCAGCTTTTCCTGCTCCACTGTGAAATTGCAGTTGATGGGCAGTGCGCGGTAAACTTCGTTGATGAACGTGATTTGGGCATCTGGTAGCAAGTATTAGAATTGATGATCGACGGGGTTGAAGGTTGGTACGAACCCTGTGAGAGTTGCTGTATTAAAATTAAGAGGATATCGTCTGTGTTGACTTCACTTCCACATCCGCGGCAGAAGGCTAATGTGAGTGATGCAATGGCTGCAGAAAATTTGTCTGCCAAGTTCATAACCTTATTAGCAGATAGTTGAGCTGGTAGAAAGGAGAAACGCACTTTCATCGTAAAGACCATTTTCGGCTCCGTAAGAATGCTCCATAACCTTGAGGTGCGTCTGGCCGTCGTTGTCTAGCATGACTGCAGCGCATGCGCTCGGCGAGAAAGAGACGTGTTGACCTTGACCTATCAGAACACGGTTAGTAACATTCCAGGTCGACAATACGAGGCACTACAACCTGAGGCGTCTGGGGCATAGTGAAACCCCGCTTGAGCTAAGCCCGTCACCGTATTCGCATCATCAACACCATTGAACAATGCCATGGTTTTCGGGTCGTAGAAAGACACGGAGCTATCATCGTAAGTGATGGCAACCACATTACCGTACTCGATTTGGTCCACTGATATAACATAGCGGTCAGAGTAGATGTCTTCCAAGCGACGCAGCACAGGCCTAGGCTGTGTTCCAAGAGTCAGCGCGGTCTGTATGAAGTACTGATAATCTTCACGTACCTTCATCTGAGTACTGTTTCGTTTTGTGGCCATTTCATCAAACTTGGGGTGAAGGGTGAAAGCAGCAGTATCCAATTGCCATCGTACAATTACACTTGCTGGTCCTTGCGGGCCAGGATGATCTGGAGTAGCTTGGGGTGGGGTTGAGAAAACCGCAACAATCCATGGGTTCGCTGTAGTCCCAGCAGCGTTATCGGAGGCCGGGAGAATTATATCCAGGCGACTGAGGCTATATAGAGGATTTGAGACCGACTGCTGCATCATGTCGGGTTCTTCTCCGTCATTCCGAGGCATCCCAGGCACTGTGCATGACGTTTCCACCTTGGAGTGCGTGAAACGGAAGCTAGGGACTGGGAATTGGGGTGGCGTCTGCTTTGGCTGTTGTGCAGGGTCCCATTGAGGCGGGTTCCAGTTGATCTGCACCCGATAGAAGCGGATCTTTTGGCATATCGAGTAAGTAGCGACAAGGATTCCGTTCTGGGTTGCTACCAGAGCAGCATGTGACAGCAACCGATCTGAGTAGCTTGTGCTCTTCAAATCCACGGAGATGTCATCCCATCTGCCGTCCGGATTCTGGTACAAGAGTTTCATAGATCCAGAACGTGTAATGCATAGCAGTGCCGCTTTATTTGCAGGGTGAAACGGACCTATCGGGCGGCGACGGAACGGCGAGTAAGCCCAGCGACCCTGTACTTTGGCTGCTTGATAAAATGCATGCACCTAAGAAGTTTAGCATCGAGAGACAGATGTGGTTCGCAGATCGACATACGGATCGTTGGGTGTTCAGCCACAACATGCCAACAATTTGAGACCCATCGTCGGGAGAAAAGGCCGGCTGTCGAAGGCCGTTAACACTGTTGAGGGCGAAAGGGATGTGATAGACTGAGACACGTCCAGTCACATCGACCACAGCCAGATCGGAACCAGCTTCGTTCCAACTCAGGTGAGTGAGAGCATGCCCGCCGTGCGCTTCGGTGATTGGCATCAAAGGGGTCTCATCGCTGAGCACCCACTTGCCATCCGACGGTCGACATTGCAGATGGCGGACTTTCACCCTCAAGGAGTCTTGTGAGATGTAAGCAATACATCCCAGTTTGGACCATGCAATCTTTCTTTGAATAATATTAGCCTACAGATCCAAGCTAGGTTTCGCGACACCTCAGAAGACAGTAACTTACTGGCAACAGCCAAGCAGTCGCATCTCATCCAGACGCTGGGCAAGGCCTCTGGCAGAAGAAGCTGATGGTGGCAGGCCCAGCTCGAGGGAGGTGGGTTCGCCAAATAGATCGTCAACATTGATACTATCGTCCATCATTAAGGGCATTGTGGGGTGCGAAGCTCTAAATCCAATGGGGGAAGTAAAATGTCTTGGGAGGCCAGTGATCGCAAGACTCAGATATCATAGTTCGATACAATTGAACCTCGGCAGGCAATTGCGCAGGTAAGATGGGCGGGGTGTAGCCACAGAGGGGCACTGAATGATATGCAAAGGGCTTAGTTGATAGCAAACAGAACCCTCATGGCATTTAAACCCCGGATCCAGACGCTACCCTTTGGCCGGGAGGATGATCATGGGCTAAGTTGACTCTCCAAGATGATAGTTTCATTACTCGGGACTAGTGGTCAGGTGGAGCTCTCCGCGCCTCTTAGTCAGCGTCATGTGAGGTCATGTGCTGTCGTAACCAGGACAACCAATCACACCGGCCCCACCAGCCATGGGCGCAACGATATCGGCGAGATCCATCTTTGGACTTCGCTGCTGGAGGGAAGTTCCAGGAGCTGCACGACCACCTTGACCACCTTGTGGCAGTTGCCATTCTAGCACCGGCTGATAGTATGTAAAACAGAAGGAGTTGTTAATAGGCCAAGTCTGTGCTAGGCGACCGTGCAGATATTCCCTATAGTTCCCGCCTATATACGTCAATCGTGAACCCTATCATGACTACTCCTTGGAACACTAGTACTTGCTTGAGGTCTGTGGTCGGCTTACAACCAAGCGCTTGCTCACTAATGCCAGCTGCGGCTGTACCCTTTCAGATACAATAATCACTGTCTGTTAGTAAATGCGTCATAATTCCATGAACTGAGGAATTTCCGGAAGTAATAGTCGCAAAAAATAGCCATCAAGGGCATTGTGAAGAAACATGTTCAGACCAGATACGGAAGGGCATGATGCGTGATGGTTCCTTACTACTACTTACCGCAATGAATATGAGCTATCTGATGATATCCCATTCCCTAATTCGTGGGCTAAAAGACATGTCATCCGAGAGAAGCGTCTATTGCATCGTTCAAGATGGAGAAGAAGACCGTTTAAAGAGCGGGGCTCAACCCGCCTCACTTGTCGAATCATCCACCTTCCCGCAAACAACGTCCGATCATCTCGGACGGATGATATAATGCAAACCACGCCGAAATCATAGCACCTTCCTCTATAGCAGGGATGGATTTCTGAATCGCAGTCATAGTGCAGTCTTACAGCGGGCTTGCTAGCAACAAGATGAGCGCCTGATCGGACGGAGAAAGAAACACGAGGCCCGGCAGATGATGCGGGAGAACATAACCGACGCGACTCCTTCATAGAGCTCGGTGGTGATCACCAAATACATCTCATCAATTACACGTATCTACATTCAAGTTCGCTCTTCAGATAGCAGAGAACGCAGCTTAACAATAATACAGGTGCGGGGAACGAAAGTCCGTGGAAGATCCGGACACCCTGGAAAACCGGATCATGCCAGTTCTTGCTAAAACAGCGCCGCACTTTCCGACAAATGCCTCAAGCATAATTTGACTGGTAGCTCCATCCGATACCCCGCGCTGGTCCGTCCGTGGATTATGCTGTGTCCGGTTCGATCACACAAACAAAAGGTGAACATCAATGACATGGTAAAGGCAGCAGCAATGATTCCAGTATGGGTTCACGACTTATACGATAATTATATCACAGAGTTCTACTGGCAGATGGCCAGCCCCGCAAGGAGATGGCGAGCATACGTAAAGTAGTATCCCTGTGACCCTGGTTACTGATTATGAAATAAACGCTCAGCCTTCCCAACAATCGTAGCGTTTGACGCGACGGATTCGGAACGATAGTCGGAGGCCGGCTAGTGCGAATGACGGTCGCGATGTGGGATTCTGATAACTGCAGTCGAGCCCACTCGGGTTATGCTAGGGGATAATCACTAAACCAAAGGGATATCCGACCTCTTTGTTCATTCCGCCGGCTCTCCAATGTGTGGGAAAGGCATGGTGAGGATTGCCTCGCACGGGCAAGTATATGTTTGGGCTGTGGTTGGCCGGAGAATTGGGTGAAGCTTCCACGGCCAATGGAAGAAGCTCCCCAGGCCGACAGCCCCCTTTAGCGCGGTACGGGATCGGTAACGAGGTTGGCAGCACAAAACCGAATTTGCAGGAGTAAAAAGACGAGGTTAACTCCAAATGCACCCAAGAGCCAGCCCCCACCGGGCTGTCCATACAGGGTTGATACGGGAAAATTCCCAATAGTCACTGCAACCCCGTAACAATGTAATGTAACTGGCAATCAAAGTGAGTGTTAGTAGCATAGCAGTATAGTAGCATGTCCCAAACACTGACTAGTAAATTTAGGTGTAGTAGAGCAATATCATCATTCCCACCGGCATTCATCCCAACTTGATCAACACGCGATCATATCTATCTACCCCTCTTGTTTCCAGACACATTCCTCTGAGCATACCACTTCGTTGCCCGAGTTTGTGTTTTTGCTGCAGGACAATCCCCTCTTCCTCTACCTCGAACTCCCCCCATTTCCCCATTAGCCCTCTTTGATGCAGAGCCTTCATCGACTCTTCCCGAGCGATACCCGTGGGTCAAAATAAACACACTGCAAGCGAGAGGATCTGACCGGCCTGCCGTCGAACCTGCTGCAACACTCCCAAGCAGCAGTCCGTCAGTCCATTCTAGTTGTGCTGGCTTGCTGCTAGTAGCCCTTTTCTTTCGCTCTCCCTCTCCATCCGTTTTCCACTTGACCTCACCACTTGCTGTCCTCGACCCAGACTTGCGCTGTCCCAGTCACGGGGCGGTTCCTCCTGTGCTGCCCATTCCTCTTCTTCTTCTTCATCTGCCTTCATTGTCTTCTTTTCGTCATTCTTCTTCTTCCTCTTCTTCTTCCACCCAACTCCCTTCTCGCTGCTACCTCCGCCCGAAATAAGGGAGCCAGACGTGAACGACAGGGGAAAACAAAGAAGCAATATCTGTCCGAAATTATCCCCCTTACCGTCATTCCCACTTGTCAATTGATGTTTTCCGTTTCTTTTCCGGTCCTCCATGGTTTTCTCTCGGGACGATATCTAGCTTTGATCCCCCCCAGCTTTCCGTGAACAGCGAGCCCTCCTTTGAGTCTTTTCCCTCCCACCCTCGAATCCAATTTTTCTTCCCCCGATCTCTTTGTGCTCGCTGTTTGCTTCGTCACCGCGACGGCCTGACCTAAATGGCGCCCCGTCGTACTGCCACCACTTCGTCCACCACTACCACCTCCACTACCACTACTACTACACACTCTACCACCAACTCCTCCCGCTCGTCTCCGAAAAGTCTTCTGGCGTCATTAGGCATGGATGATGACTCGGATTGCTCGAGTTTAAGCTCAGCGCCGGCATCACCTCTGGCACCGCCTGGTTTCTATCCGTCGCCGCCCCCGTCGCAGGACGCGGATGAGCCTAGCGCCGCCCGCAGCCAAGACGAGTTGCCGCCCGCCAGGAAGAAGCGTCGGGTCGCCGCCCCCAAAGAACGCCGAACTCAGCATCTCGACCTGTCGGCCACCGCCGGCTTGTCCTACACTGAACAGCAGTCGCAAATTGACTATCTCGTCAAAACGATTCAGCGTCACCGCAAAATTGTCGTCATCGCCGGTGCGGGTATCTCCACCTCCGCAGGAAGTATGCTTTCCCATCCCCACTCCTGATCCTGTCACCACCACGCGACTGTCCGCTCTTGCCTCTTTCCCTCGTATTTTCTAATCTATCATAGTTCCTGATTTCCGCTCGACCGACGGTCTCTTTAAGACTTTGCAGAAGAAACACAACCTCAAAGCATCGGGCAAGCTCTTGTTTGATGCAGCCGTCTACCAGGATGAGGCGTTGACCGCCTCCTTCCAGGACATGGTACGGTCGCTGTCCGAGGAAGCAGCCAAGACCTCTCCCACAGCTTTCCACCACATGCTGGCGCGACTGGGCCAGGAGAACCGTCTCACTCGTCTCTACACACAAAACATCGATGGCATTGAGACCTCAATGCCTCCGTTGGCCACGCAGATCCCGTTGAACGTCAAAGCGCCCTGGCCACGCACCATCCAATTGCATGGCAGTCTTGACAAGATGGTTTGCCAGAAATGTCGACATCTGAGTGACTTCGATGCGGGCTTATTTGACCGTCCTGATGCCCCCGAATGCCCGGAG